TCAGCCCCTGAAATGATGCATAATCCAGGAGATTACTCCATTATCAGGTAGCAATACCAAAAATAAGAATTTTATACCATTGTCATATTGATTATACTCAACATTGGGGAAAAAACATTCTTGTCTTCTTATTAACTGTTTCAATAAGATTAAATGAAAATGAACTCGATGCAGATATGAAAGGCTATTTCCAATTGCATTAAATGGAGTAGTATATCAATATTGTCAGTTCACATGCATGGTGAGTGCAGTGCTGGTAAATACATAATCCTGTCTTAAAAAAAAAACATCAAGAAATCTGTTTTCTCTTGTTGATCAAATGATTTAACTATAAATGTCATTGATTCACAGTGGCAAAGGTGGAGAAGATGTGTCGGAAATATTGGAAAATTTCCCGAGTTTTACGTCTAAAATGTGGTCCGAGTCCTCCAATCAGAGCAGGAGTGAATCCTCCCTGTATGCCGAGAATCAGAGACTGCGGGAGGTGATGGAGAAGGAACGCTACAGGAGAAAGGTACACCCATACCCATACTGGAGGGTTGGTAGGAAGGGGGTGGGGTCACTGAAACAGGAGAAATGTACAATCTTACTTACGTGGAGGGGGTGTATTTTACTGAAAACTGAGGTAGTAAAGAGGAGGGAGTTCTAATATCTAAGAGGAACTTATAATCAGAGAGAATTTAAACTGATATTTTATACACACTATGTACAACTTTGATTAGTTCATGGTTAGTCTAATTGAGAGCTGTATTCATACTAGACTGAAAACTTGTAAAGCTGTTTCATTAATTAGGCTATCTAAATTTAATTCCCTGGTTCTCAGGCCAATTTTCTCCAAAACAGATACGGGAGGGCGGCGATTTATTTTTCATTTTATTGGCAATAAAGTAGATGAGGGAGGTATTTTTTTTAATTTTAATTTCCGAATTTTCTTTAACATAAAGATAATTTTTTTAATCACAGATATACTTTCCATTTCTGGTCAAAATTTCTGCTTTATCCATTGCTTAACAGCGCGTAAACATCGTAGGTAATGTCCTCAAATGTATTTTCAAACGAAGTGGCCAAAATCTCATTGTAAATGGCTACCGGAAGTGATATTTGAATACTAAACTACGAAACAAATGAGGTCGGAATTTTTTTTCCCGGATTGGTCTCCGCAAAACCAACTTTTTATTTTATCAAAAATACAATAAAATCGGCAATGCGGCTTCCTCGAAACGGATGCGCGCGGGCCTGAGAACCAAGATTTCAATTTTATATGGCCTTACTCATTTAAAATTATTTTTCAAGTAATTCTTTTTTAATGCACTGTACAGTTAAATCCTGTTAAAAATATAATTGCATAAACAGTATAAGTTGTAACACTCACCCCTTGTACATTTTCAGCATTGTGAGCAGTACATTCAAAAGCTGAATGTAAAGGTAGGTCAAAGTTCTCAGTACAGCATAATGTAAGCAGTTTCATTTATGAGGCAATATAATGTACATGTATATTGTCAGCTTTGGAAATTTTCTTAGCTAAAGATTAAGGTTTAATTCACTTTGTTTTGGAAGAAAAATGATTTTAAAAAGTGTGACACTACATGCCATAATAGTTAAAGCATTGCTCTCTGTTTGCTCCAGTCACACTAAAGTACTTTGTCATTTGATTTTTATGTCACACTTTAAAAGTACATACATGTAGATCCTTTTGATAAATCTGTATAAATTGAAATTTTATGATATTGCAAACACCACAAAAAGGGTATTGCAGAAGTCTTAATTTGAAGTCTAAAATATACATAGACCTGAGAGCGAGAGCAAGCAATTGGGGAGTAGTTACTACTGTGATGTTACTTTGCAATCATATTTCAGTTGCTGGAGACACAACAACAGTTAGCGGTGGCCATATCTACAGACAAGAGGAAAGACATCATGATAGAACAGTTAGACAAGGTAACTTAGGGATAGTGTAATACTGTAAAAAAGGTTGAATTGAAGGGTTGAAAGTTTGACAATTTCAGTATTTGATAAGAATAGTGACAAGTGCACGCTGATGATCATTAAAAATTCATCAATTTTGTTAGTGTTTTTTCACTACTGTCAAATTTCCCAATTTTAGATACTTGTACATAAATAATGTAGCATTTTATTAGATGCTTAAAGGATTTTTAAAGTGGACCAAACAAAATTTGTTGTAGCAACTTGCTAAAGTTGTGGAAGGCTGGAAGAATCGTGATGAGGAAAAAGAGAGTATGCTGATAAAGTTAAGAACTGAGAAAGTGAAAATAGAAGAGAAACTAACCAAACAGAATGAGGTAAGGTGTTTGTGTTAATAATTTTACGTTATAAGCCTCAAGTTGGCTCATCAAAATTATTGGGAGCTGCCTGTTCAATTCTCGACTGTTTCATGTTATGAATGGGATGTTATATTTTTTCAGATGTTTATTGGATTATATAACTGTAATGATAAAATAAGTTGCATCTGAATGAAATTCTTTTTGCATGGGAATTTTTCTCAGTTAGAATTACATTTATGAAGATTGGGATTGTAGTTCTTGACTTTCAGTAAGTTTCTCATAATAATATTTCCAAATAAGCGAAATAAAGAGGTTTGTATTTATTACATATATATTCCAGATGATAAAAAACTTTGAAAAAGACATGGCAGAGGCCCTGCAACAGATGAGAGATGAAAAAGACAGAGCCAGTATTGAGATTGACAAACTAAAGGCTCAGGTAAGTCATTTACTGGCAGAATACTTGTAAAAACAAAGAGAAGAAAAAAATAAGAAACACAAAGATATGATTGGTTAGTTAGTGCATTTTAAATGACAATTTTGCAGATATCTGAGAAGGAGCGAGCCCGTTTCCATGCAGAGGAAATGCTGGATGCTGAGCGCGAGCGGACTCAACTGATCAACCAGGAGTGGGAAAATCTCAAAGAGGCTCGGGACACAGCTGAGAAAAAGGTTCAACAGCTTCAGGATAGACTGCGCTCGGTATGTAGAAATGTGCCATGTGCTCATTATGATCATGGATTAATACATTTAATTAAGCTGGGTTTCACGCTATACTTCATTCATAGGTTTGAAATATTTATCAGTTTCTTTTGGTTCTTTTCCTCAGTTTTGCAAAGTTTATCTCTCAATTATATGTTGTTTTTTTTGTATCTTGATCTTAGTTGTTGATGATACTTATCACCATCAAAAAAGACATCTATATTTTATATTGGATTTTTTGAATTGACGGTGATTGCTGTGAAATTTCTTTGGTACTAGCACATTATCTTTAAGCAGTGTTTGTCTTTGGATTCCAGGAACAAGATGATTGGTTCAAAAGAGAGCAGGAACTGTTACATAAGATAGATGAAGTGTCTGAGAGCAACCAGAAAGTCCTGAATCAAGAGAGGGTAAGCACAATCTGAAGAAGGCAGTTCCAATCCATGGATCACTTTATACTGTATTTGAGAATCTTGTTATATAATCTCATGACATATAACTGGACTTCATTGAATAAGATTTTTTTCATAATAACAAGAGGTACATGTGTGTAGAAATGTAATTTACATGTATTTCAGGTATTTTGTAGTTGAGAATGTTTCTGTGTCTGATAAGTCTGAATATTTTCATTCACATACCAGTATTATACATGTAATATACCGTATATCCGTTTTTTTTCGGGGTGATCTATTTTTCGCATTTTTTTGCGTTCATTTTTAATTCGCAAAATATAAAACACGCAGAAATTATGTCAGCTATGAGTGACATAAAAACATTGCCATTTTAAGCAAAAAAAAATCTTCAATTGTTAAAAATAATTTATGCAAAATATAAACTGTACTAATTTACCCCTTTTTCGCAAAATTTCCAACACACGAAAAAAAAAAAAACGGATATACGGTAATGCATTAAGTTAATCACAGTGAAAGATATATTTCACAAAAACTTGGATCCTCTCCTTTATCTCTGTATCTGATGTGAGTAACATTCAATGCTTTACAGGAGAAGTCAGAGGAAGCCGTGACCCTGTGTAAGGACATGGAGGAGAAGATCTACTCCCTCCAGACCGAGAGTAGGAAATATCAGATGGAACTGGACGCGGCCATCAGGGAAAAGGTGTCATATAGAAACATCTCTTCAAAATTGATAAATTCTTTCCTGTTAAATAAGCAAAATTCAATTCTCCTAAAACAAAAATCGTGAATATTTCTGCTGATATTCATGAGTTAAGAAATGTAAAGGATATATCATTAGATTTCTGTAAATTCTAATTGTGCTTTGAATTCTTTGCTGTAGGAGAGTATGAAGGTAGAGATGGGCATTATGGAGGCCAAGTTTGAGAGTTCACAGAGGACTCTAGAGGCAGAGTTACAATCCAAGATGGAGAAGGAGGTAGGTTCATATTGCTCTTCTCTGTAGACTAGGGAACAGAAATATTTTTTTTAGTGAAGAATTGATAAAAAGAAATTTAGAGATATTTCTTGCACAATTTTTTTTTACCTCATTTTCTTTCTATAATTTGTGCTACTTAAAAATATATTAGAGAGAGAAATTGTTATGTGTTCATGTGCATGTATTTGAGACATGAAAAAATATAATATATGCAAATACTTGTACATATATTTATTTATATGATAGACTTTGTAACTGCATTCATGCTTTCTAAGATCTCTATTTTTTTAAGATTGCGGATCAGATAGCAGAAGTTCACAGGAAGACTGAGGAATCTGAGACAGAACTACGACAGAATCACAGACAGCAGATCAAGGAACTGAATCAGAGGTACACCAAAGACATGGAGCGTAACCTGGCCAAGTTCCACAGTGATCAGAAGAACAGGGAAGAGGAGTTCCGAAAGCTTACTCTGGAATACGAGGAAAAGTAAAAGATGATCAGAAATGAGCTAGTTATTGCTGTACTGTATAAATTGAGCTCTAAAATATTTGCTATCCAGGCTGATATCCACAGACCAAACAATTACATTTTTAGGTCACCTGAGTAAACTCAGGTGACCTATTGCTATCCGTTTTCGTCCGTCGTCGTGCGTCGTCCGTCGTCCATCGTGTGTTAACATTTGAACATTTTCAGCTTCTTCTCTGCAACCACTGAACCAATTTCAACCAAATTTGGCACAAAGCATCTATGGGTGAAGGGGAACAAAAATTGTGAATTTCATGATCCCTGCCCCCCTGGGACATGAGGGGTGGGGCCAAAACCACTAAAATTAATGCAATCTTTAAAAATCATCTTCTTTACTCTTGGATATCAAGCAATTAAACTGTTTGCATTATTGTAACAAGCTTTGATACCTCTACAAATATTGTGAAATTCATGGCCCTGGGGTCAGGGGTTCTAGTGCTAGGGCGGGGCTAAATAAGTATATAGTGAAAATGCATTATTTCTTTGAAAATCTTCTTCTCTGCTCCTGGGTATTAAATAAACTAACTAAGTACATAGTTATGATGAGCAAGAGTGCCTCTACCAAAATTGTGAATTTTATGGCCCCAGGGTCAGGGGTTCTGGTGTTAGGGTGGGGCTCTATTGATTATATATAGTGAAAATACATGATTTCTTTGAAAATCTTCCTCTCTGCCCCTAGGTATTAAATAAACTAACTAAGTGCATAGTTATGATGAGCAAGAGTGCTTCTACCAAAATTGTGAATTTCGGTCTGACTTTGGAGGGTTCTGGTGTTGGGGGGGGGGGGGGGGGGGGCTCTGTTGATTATATAGTGAAAATACATGAATTCTTTGAAAATCTTCTTCTCTGCTTCTAAGCATTGAATAAACTAACTAAGTGCATAGTTATGATGAGCAAGAGTGCCTAAATCAAAATTGTGAATTTTATGGCCCCAGGGTCAAGGGTTCTGGTGTTGGGAGGAGGGGGGCTCTATTGATTATATAGTGAAAATACATGAATTCTTTGAAAATCTTCTTCTCTGCTCCTAGGTATTAAATAAACTAACTAAGTGCATTGTTATGACGTGCAAGAGTGCCTCAACCAAAATTGTGAATTTTATGGCCCCAGGGCCAAGGGTTCTGGTGTGGGGGGGAGGGGGGCTCTTTTGATTATATATTGAAAATACATGAATTCTTTGAAAATCTTCTTCTCTGCTCCTAGGTATTGGATAAACTAAATAAGTGCATAGTTATGATGAGCAAGAATGCCTCAACCAAAATTGTGAATTTTATGGTCCCAGGGTCAGGCCGGTTCTGGTGTTAGGGCAGGGCTCGTTTGATTATACATGTATATTGAAAATACATGAATTATTTGAAAATCTTCTTTTCTGCTCCTAGGAATTAAATATACTAACTATGTACATAGTTATGATGAGCAAGAATGCCTCTTCTAAAATTATGAATTTTATGGCCCCAGGGTCAGGGGTTCTGGTGTTAGGGCGGGGCTCTATTGATTATATAGTGAAAATACATTAATAAATCTTTGAAAATTTTCTTCTCTGTCTCTGGGTATGAAGCAGATGAACTACCTATATAGTTATGCTGAGCAAGGGCCCTAATCTTGCAGAATTGTGAATTTCAAGGCCCCAGGGTCATATAGCATCTGGCTTAAAACAGGAATCAAATTCAATAACTGGAAAGTTGTTGCATAATGCTCAGGTGACCTATAAGGCCCGTGGGCCTCTTGTTCTCATATATTGTTGATTTAAAATTTTAGATTACAAGAGCAGAGGAATGAAATAACATCGCTTCATAATGTCAAACAGAAACTTGAGTCACAAAGGTAAGATATTGGCATAAGTTGTTTATTTATTTTAAAAGTCTATCTGTTTGGCCCATCGATTTCCCGTGGTTACATTGATGATGATGATCTCTATTGCAGGTCAGAGATTCTAATGAAACTACAGTACATGATGCAGTCTCAGTGGAATGAAGCCGTTCAGATGTTAGCCACTACTCCTCAGAGAAAGGTCAGAATTAGGAGTTTAGTGATAATGTACAAAACGTGTAATACTTCAAGTCAAGTTTTCATTTTCATGGTTTACTATACCAATTAAAAGGAAATTGACTTCAAATCTATTTTCTCAAATTTAAACTGTCAATTATACTCTGAAGAGGTTTTCTTGAAAATACTTTTAATGACTTCTGAAATCTTGATAAAGCAAATTCCTTTGAAAGGGGGAAAAATAAGCATTTATGCTTTAACACTTTTTTGCAGACCTATGCTAGCACATCCTTTAGTTCCCAGACTAACACCACTACGAGTGCGGCCCTTAACACCAGTATTCCTAGTCAGGGGGTGTTCCCCATCACCAGCAGTCCGGGCAGGGACAGTCACACTGCCCCGCCCCTAGAACCCAACATCAGTGACCTGACCACCTCTCTCCACATGCAGCAGTTCTTCCAAAGGTAGACATATTTTCAAAGTGTGTGGATAGATTAGAAAATTTTCATTTAATTACTAAAAACAGATTATTGATATTGAAATGGATCTATGCTAAATAAATCAACAATATACTGTAAACGAATTGCATTTGGCTGTGTATTCTCTTTAGCGGCTTTGGCGGAACGCAGCAACCGCTAAATAAAGTCCAACGCTAAATGTCTTGCACATTTACACATAGATTAGAAAATGAAGAAGTGCGCTAAATCAAATCTACGCTAACTTATTCAAAAGTCAATTTCCGCCAAATATTGTACATGCTAAATATAAATACATTTACTGTATTTACTTTGATTAAAATCAGTGTTTTCATTGATTGCCATTGAATTTTCTTTCTGCATTAATATAAATTGCTTTTGGACTATTTAACAATCACCTAATGACACCTAATTTGAAGAATTATTATAACAATCTTTATAAAATGCTTTGTAGTCTTTCACAACCTCTGGTTTTTCCACCTTCATCCATGCAAACAGAAACCAGCACAAGCTCTAGGAATCCACAGACCATCAGCGAGAGGAGGGTAGGTGAAACTTCTCAAGTCTCGGAATCGCAGTTCAGTGGAGTGAGAAACTCCTCTGAAGTATTCCATCGGAGAGAACAAGAAGACAGAGCATTACATAATGGCCTACAGGAAGACAGGGTACAGTCCAATACTCAGGAGGAAGAGCATGAGACAATCCACAACTGGCTTAGAAACTCTCAAGAAGACAGCTTTAGAACAGGAGCCTCATTCATAGCTGCTGAAGACATCAGGAGTTCTAATCTGTCCGTTTTGGAGTTGGTGGGAAAGTTTCAAGGGTCCGTTTCACAGCAGGGTTCTTCAGGTTTTTTACCTAAGATTTCAGACTCTGAGACTCACCCAACCAGTGTGCCTGTTTCTCATCCAGCCACTGCTGTTCCCATCAGACCTCCCCAGCATGGCAATAGCCAATCAACCAATCAGAATAATTCTCAGTTTGTCTTATCCAATCGTGTTCATGATAGGAGTTTTGAAAGTGCTAAGTCAACCAATCAGAAAGAGGATCAGACATATCCTGGAAGATTTGCTCAGAGTTTGCCTGTGAGAGGAAGAAGTGATTCTCCAACACTCTCACAGCAAAGTAAAGGTGAGTTTTAAAATCTTATGTCAAGAGTTAAAATATTTGTAGAAGAGATTCCACACCTAGAAAGCTATCTTTTTTTCTCAAAACTGTATAAGAACAAACACTAGTGCTCAAATTTTAATGATGGTTTACTTTTGCTAACATGGTTCTATTCTTACCAAGGGAAGCTACGTATGATATAACACTATCGCATTTTAATATTGATTTATTTTACACAGAGGAGCCAATGTCTTGGCCACAGAGAAATGTCATTCACTCCCCGCCAACCAAACAGAGCAGAGGTCATGTGATAGAAAGTCACAGTGTAACAGAGGAGGGTCAAAGGTTAGCATTAAATTACTGTAGACATACTATTTTCCATGTGTCACAATTCCGCGGAATCTCTATTTCTCTTTAATCCACGGGTGGAAAATTACGTGGATTTCCTAAAGTCTCACTATATTCCCTACAAGTATTCTGAGTACAATGGGACAAATTTCTGTGGACAATTTGTGATCACATACATGTACATAGCGTCAATTAATACAATGCAGAAAAAAGTACTTCTACAGTATACTACAGGAATAAAAGATTTTTCCATTTATAAATTCTAAATTGGTATAAAATTGTAAAATTTGTCCCTTTCATAGATTCCAATTGAGTATGAAATTGTTAATAAAATAAATTATAAGTGCTCTTATTCTAAGTGATTTCTATTTCTCATTTAATGTGTACAAGTACTGTGTTCATGTAGTTCAATTTTATATTTTGAAATGACACAGATTTTATATGATATTATTCTTTGGATTGTAGGTTAGATGTTGATTATCATCACTTGTCCCAGAGAGTAGAAGAACACGAATCCAAACAATTTCAACTCCAGCATTACATACAAATGGTAGGGGTGTTGAATATAGGCCATGCAAAGTTAATTACTTGGTTCTCAGGCCTTTTTTCAAGAAATATGATGAGGGAGGGAGGCATTTTTTTTTCTTTTTTATTGCCCCCAAAACATGATGAGGCAGCTTTTTACATTGTACAAAACCTCAAAAAATGATGAGGGAGGTGATTTGGTGTTTATATTTTATTGATTTAGCAATAAAAAGGGTCAATGAGGCACCCTTGGAAGAGATGAGGGAGGGCCTGAGAACCAAGAAATTAATTTTTTTTTTGCCATAGTGTAATACATTAATAATACATTACATGAAATTGAGGAAAGACAAATTTTTAAACGTATTCTTTGAAAAATTCCTTTATTTTAAAAATGTCACACTACAAAGAAATATATTGTTAGATGTAGATAACAAGTTTCTTCTAAACATATATGATGAACTGTATATTAACACACTCAGAACTTAGTAAGAAATCCTAGGTGAAAAGTTTGACAAACGTTGACTCTGATATCATTCTACAGTTGTTGCATAAGCCTCCCGGGGATCCAGTTACAGAAGATGTAGAGGCGGACAACTCCATGAGCTCACACAACAACACTGGTATGTGGGAAATTATTATTTTAAGTTATCTAAAACACACGGTAAGGTATACTTTATCTGACTGATAAGATATTTTTGCCAGTTGTTAGACTGCTGTGTCCATACTCTAAGGCAAGAAGCCTTTCATGGTGCACAAAATGCACTTCTCCAATCTTTTCAAGTTTTTAAAACGAATCAAATTGCGCAGTTTCCTGGAACTTAATTATAAGTGTGTTTTATTGTACTTATTAGGCAAGCTTGAATGCGTGTACTGGCCTTAACAGTTGATAAATTAATGGAACATGAATACGCCAATTATGTGCAGATTTAGTTGAATGAATATTGCAGACTGTTAAGTTATTTTTATTTTTCAGTAGATGAATTGAATGACACTGCACAAGCGGCCCAGATTCAGAGGGAGATGATACGCCTCCAACAACTGAGGGAAAAGAAACAATCACAGGTATTAATAATGATCTCATGTTTCATAGAGATTTTAACACTAGTGAAGTGATCCTGCCAAATTACATGTGCGTATTATTGATGCAAGGACAAAATAACATATAGTAACAAATGATTGTTAATAAATATGATAAATGGGTGGGATGGGGGAGTTGATTATAGATTTTACTTGTAACATATTTTTAATCAATTGTTTCTTGCCAAAAACTACTGAACAAGAATTTCATTAAAATCTAGAAATGAAAAATTTTAACATGTTACAAGTTAAAAAAAAAACAAAACATAAATGAAAATGTTACAATTACAGAATTGTAACAAAGGGTTTCAAAAACAAAATTTGATTAAAAGTGTATTAAATTTTTTCATGATTAAATGTTCTTAATTACTGTAAACGTGGAAATTTTGACGATGTGCTAATTTTGACTATATTGACAACTTTTCTTTTCTCGTCAAAATTTACACTCGTCAAACTTCAAATCATATATATCGCGTCACAATAGACATTGACCATTGTACAACATTAACGCTTAATTTTCTCGGCTTTCCCCTATTAAAACTAGATCATATTTACTGTTAATTTCTTTTGTAATTAGTTATGAAAACACAGTGATATACAGTATAATCACATTTTTTAAAACTAGTGAATCTAAACTAGTGTATCAAATAATGCATGCGTAACTCAGCGTAATTATCACGCAGTGTTTGACCTAGTTTCTCACCTCAGGCAATTGACTGCTTATAATGAAAACAAATTACAAGAGGGCAATTATTTAATCAAATCTTACACACTTAGATACTTTGTACAATCTTACACACTGTAGATGGTCTGTATAAAAATAAAAATCTTAGTGATTCAAATGTGCCTTTGTATCCTCGTGAATTCAAAGATACATAACTTTTGATTAAATATTTCGTCAAAATTAACCCTCGTCAATTTTTGTAACCAAACAATCGTCAATTTTTCAACTCATCAATATAACCACGTTTACGGTAAATATTCTCAATTGGAAATTGCACAACATTTTCATATTTTGTTTCTTAAAAAACAAATGGCTCTTTAGGACTTAGCTTTTTTTTTTTTTTACTTTGCAGGCAGAAAATGAGCCAGGTACATCAGGGGCAGTGAACAAGGTGATGCAGCCCGAACAGTTGGCAGAAATATCCAAAATGTTGAACCAGGTCAAAGGTCAATTTGGAGGAGGTCAAAAGCAGACAACCTTGACACACACAGAGGAGGAAAACATGTTACAGATATTCAATCTCCTGAAGTACATGCAGAGGTTAGAGGGCTCATAAAGACAAACATAAATTGAAAAAAGTAATTAAGTTTTCATTTAGCTATTTGGCATATTTTATTTTAGGGCAGTAAACGAAAGTATTCCTATTCCAGCTGTATCTAGCGTTGGGTCAAAATAATGAGTAAAGTGAAAACTAACAAATTTTCATTTTTTTCATAACAAACTTTAATTTTTTTGTTTTGTTACAGTGCACCAGGGCATGATAGTGGAGGAGTGGCCAAACCAGGTCGTCATTCTAGTGCCCCCTCCTCGCCAAGGTCACATGACAGGGACAAGGTCAAACGGAATCTCAAGGATCAAATGGCAGTATGTATTGTTTCAACAGGAGAGATAGTCAAGTCAGTAAAGCTTGAATGGATCATAATTTCTTACAGTTGAAGCACTAAGAGCTCGTCCTTTATTAAAAGATAAATTTTGACAAAAGACATTTCTTGATAGGTTGATGAAAATGTGTAATTTAAAAGAAAAACACAAATTTTAGGTACAGTAAATATTCATTTTTTCAGAATAATTTGGTAAATTGCATGATTTTGATTTTCTTGGTTTTGGTAGGAATTTAGTATAGAGTTTGATCATTTTGAGGAACCTTGTGAAATCAGATTGTTTGGCTAATAGCATCCTAACAATGCCAGGAGTCCTGAGTCTACACATTGCTGTTTGACCCCTGTTATATTTCATTAGATAATATTTTAGCACAAGGGCTTGACATTTTTAACTTTTCTTTTCATAAATAAAAATATTCCCTATACATGTACTATCCTTGTTATTATAATAGTATAGGGGATATTTTTATTTATGAAAAGAAAGGTTAAAAATGTCAACCCTTGTGTATTTTAGGGCTTGCTTCTCTCATTGACAAGCAGCAATCAAATTAAAGCTTTCATGAACAGCTAGGTAAGGTAAACAAAAAGGAATCAGTTGACACCTCAAATGCACATGTTACAAGTTATTTATCATTGAATGGCTTAATGTGACTTAATGTGATTGGTTGCGAAATAAGAAAAACAAGATTTGTTAATTTTCCAAAAGACGTTGCTAAGTCACCCAAAGAATATTGAATGAAATATACCAGGGGTTCAATGGCACCGTGTTTACTCAGGAACCATTGTATTCCGAGGATGGGCTAATGGTCATATTTTGTGCTTTGAGAGTTAATTTTGAGGAGACTGTTTACATAATGAACTAATATTCTTTTTAGGGTGCCTCGGAGGGTCAGTCTAGAGGGGATAAACATGGAGGTAAACCGCCCCTGAACCATCAGAAGAAACCAGAGAGGAAGGTGGCCTCCGGGAGTAAAGCAGGTCATCAAAATAAGTCCAAGTCTGCCTGGAAGTGAAACTACAGTCTGTTCTAGAAGTGTGGGAGGGTCAGTCCAAGCCTGTCAGAAAGTGAAAGTAGGAAGGACCAGTGTTCAGTGTCTTCTGTGTCAATGTGAAAATGAAAGTAAGATGTATATGGTGTAATGAAAGTACATGTTGTGTGGTGTACCAGGTCAGAAGTTGAAAATCCAGGTCAAGGTTAAAAGGTCAAAGAATTGTTACCAGTATTAGGAAAACAAATGGAAACATACTTTTATGTGTAGAGGTCTTTGTATTTATGTCTAATTTACTCAACAGTTTCCCCGAGATTCACAGAAAGATTGTAGCTGTAATGTTTTGTAATTTTTTTTTATTAATTTGTAATTTTATTTGAATGCCTGAGTCTAATTTTATGGAGTGTAGATCTTTGTTTCTTTGTCATTAATTTACCTTCAAAAATACTGTATAGTCTTCAAAACATTTGTGCCAAGTTAATATTTATAACCAATATGTGTACATTTATTCTGATCTAATTCATTTTTTCAATATACCTTTGTTTCTTTAATCATGAATCTGGCAGCTTTTGCACAATTTTTGAAATTAATTTTACTGTTTAATGAAGTTTTATTATCTCACTGTCATAGACTTTAAAAAACCTGTAAGTGCCATCACTTTCTTTTGCTTAATATTTCACAGAATGTCATTTTGTAGTATTCTAGTACTGTTACAAGTACAATGGTTTTCAATTGACATGTAGCTACATTGTAATCTCAGGGGTCTTATTTTATAGTATAAAATATGTGACAACTGATATCTTGAATTTAATTTCAGTCTTTGTGTTAACTATTTTTTTATGTTGTTCAAAAATAACATCAATTGAATACTTCTTACAGTTTAGAAAGGATGTCAAGACAGAGGGTAGTATTTATCTATGTGAAATCAAGTTGAGAAAATGATCAAATTTTTTCCTTTTTTTCACTTCTGAAATTTCTCTTTATTGAAATGTAATGTAGGTACAAGATGTTAGATAGATACGTTTTTGTACATTGTTTCCCTGAAACAATTACATGAACATATATGAAGAATTAGAGAAAAATAGAAAATAATTTTTTTTTATAGATACATGTACATGTATGTGCAGAAGAGTTTCTATGAATTGTATTCAAAGTTACAGCTACAACAGATGTAAAGATGTTAAATGATTTGAATGTGAATTAATTCTTATTGAACCAAGAGCCCATGTTCTACTAGCTGTTACTTGATCTGCAAGAATATTTATTTTTAAAAATCATATTTATTTTATATTCCGTCCTAAATAAAGAAAAACAAAGATTAATTGGATTTTTTTTTTTACTGAAAAGTATTGCAGTTTAGGGCAGGTTTTGTCCAAAAGCACATATACGATGTAAATATGGAATTGCCTAAAGTTGGTTAGTAAATAATAGGGCCAATTTAACCCTTTATATGACAAAATGGAAAAAGGTGTAAATAAGCCTATGTTAGGCATTATCCAATATCACAGAGTCCAGCCCTGTATTCCAGTGTTGGAGCCAGAATCTATATTTATAGGTAATTAGGTAAATATTTTCCTTAGCTTTAACGGATTTGAGGGGTGTTGCTAAAACGGAAAGCGGAACAGAACGAAAACGATAAATATGATTTCAAATCAAATCACTTAAAATGCACAAATTATTTTAAAACCAATATATTTTATTAAGATTTTCATATTTAATCCTAAATACAAATTGACTGAGTCATATTCACGAAAATCCCTTGCATGCATAGGCAAAGAATAGAGAGCGGAAAACGAAACGGAACGAAATAGAAAATATATTATATCTTATATATAACATGTCTTGCTAAAATATACATTTTTAGAATAGCGCAATAACTTGAATGTGAATGGTTAACAGGGGATGCTTACTCCTCCTAGACGCCTGCCCCGACCTGGTTTATTCCCTGGAGCACCCCACCCCAACCCTTGGGGTAAAAATCCTGAATCCGCGCCTGTAATCTGCACTTTGAAATGAAAGTTGCGGGTGTACCCTAGGGTACAAAAGTATCACCTAAAAACGCAGTACCAATTTCTTGCCATATCTACCGTGTCAGGCAGGCGTCTGAACAATAGAGAGCCCTCACTGCTTGAAGGTGTCGAGTAAAGAATCCATGCATTTAACGGTATTTGGTAAAGTCTCAATTTGAGTGAAAGAAATTCTCAAAGGAGACGTCAAACAACATTAGCACCCCGTTAATTGTTCCCGCTATAACATGCTTTAAGGCAATTCTTCTCTAGTTTATTGAAAAAAAAAAATAGTTTATCAGGTTGGGGGGAAACGTAAATTCCACTATAAAAGTGGTATCTCACTATTATAGTGAAATTACGCTATATTTCCTGCCGTGGATACCCTCAATTTCATCCAAAACTATGCAAGGTGTTTGAACCGCAAGTCATGTTGGGTATTAAAATGAACAAAAACTGTCATGCTTGCATGTTTTGAATTTTAATAAATTTTCTACCGTTGCGTTTAAAAATGCGAACACTCTTTTTTAACGGAAGTTGCATTTTGAACATAGCAACCGATGATTGCGGTGGTATTTAAGCCTGTTTGAATCACACTTATTCCTCGTTAATGTGCACAAATTGATGCTTGTTACAGTTGTCAACTCGGACGGGAAAGGCCTTATAGAATTAAACAAGAAAAAGATTATTTTTGTCTGCATGGTTACGGGTATGGAGACTCGTTATGGTAAACATAAAGACCCATTATGGCAAACATAAAAAAGAGTATATTGAAAAACTCAATTTTATCCTTTTAACAAAATCAGTTATAATAAATAATCCAAAAACTACTTATATAAACGATCGTAGAAAACATATCTAATTTTTAATTTCGGCTGGTTAATTGTTTATTTCAGAAAAAAAGACTCAGTTTATTTTGGTGTTGGGAAAATTTTACAAGAGTGTCTGTAACCTTATTATAACACATGTTCAAATAATTATTAATTGACAATCATTATAACTCCGCAAAACGGTATCTTATTTATTAATGCTTTATGGATATGCACTTAGGCAAAAACGATTTAACTTTAAAATCTGAGAGAAATCGCTTTAGTTTTTTTTCTTCTTATTCGAAAAATATATAAATCTAATTATATTCATTTGAAATCAAAGTATATCGCAAAAAATCACACTAAAAGTATCAATTTTTTCAGACTTCTAGATTTATGCCAAAGTGTTGTTGTTTAAACCACAAGGGAACTTCAAATAACCAATCATCACTGCTCAATATTCAGCATAAAAAATGTCTAAAAATATCATTGACTCAATTCAAATTTTCAACAATGAAAAATTGATGCAAAGCATCAAGACGGTCGCAAGCTATTTATTATTTCAATAATTACTTTCAAAATTTTGAAAGCATATCCATGCAAGGTAAGCACAAGATATACAAAGCTGAACTAGAATCTTGATAAATTTTTAATATTATTTATCATTGACTTTATTACATCGATGAATCCGTCTGATGAGCAAATATACTAATATCTCTATTTACTTTTTTTTCAATCATTTATTTATATTGCTTTGAAGACAGTCTGAAATTGAACCACGTGCAGATACCCTGGATCTTTATCACGTGACAATGCTCTTTGTTTCTGTAGAATAGGCTATGCTGCAAGGCGTTTTGCAAAATGTAGAAAAAAATATCCTTGTATCATTCGCAGCTGTATTCAAAACAATTTTTACTTGTTGAACAGTTTTACATTCTTTTTAACCATGCACTATGTACCACGTCATTACTATCCGCAAAATCATAATTTCCTTTTATATCTATATAGTACCTTTTGTAAACTCTTTTTATAGTAAAAAATTAAAAAAAAATATCTTGAGGAGAAATGACAGTGAAATTGAAACATGATACATGTTATAACAGCGAATAATATTTAGTTTAAAGCAAATTTTACTTATGATTTTCTTCCTGTTATCAATGAAGAATTATTTTACTGAACTATTACAAAAATAACTTCTCATTTCCCATGTGCACTATCTAACACAACCACATGAAGACCGGACGCAGCAGCGGCGGCCGATAATAATGGGTCTTTACGTTTACCATATTGGGGCTCCATACCCGTAACCATGCAGACAAAAATAATCTTTTTCTTGTTTAATTCCGTAAAGCCTTTCCAGTACGAGTTGACAATTGTAACAAGCATCAATTTGTGCACATTAACGAGGAATAAGTGTGATTCAAACAGGCTTAAATACCCCCGCAATCATCGGTTGCTATGTTCAAAATGCAACTTCCGTTAAAAAAAGAATGACAGTTTTTGTTCATTTTAATACCCAACATGACTTGCGGTTCAAACACCTTACATAGTATTGGATGAAACTGAGGGTATCCACGGCAGGAAATATAGCGTAATTTCACTATAATAGTGAGATACCATGCACTGTTATAGCGGGTTTCCCCCCAACCTGTTTATTTGAAGCAACCAGATGGAATAAAAAATGAATATCATCGAAAAATCCTGGATCCACAAGACATACATGTATTTTAAAGAAATGATTTTTTGAATATCTTTTAAGAAAAATTAAAACATTGCTGTGACATCATGCCTTTGTTCTTGCAGTCTAAAAAATTACCTGTAGCCGTCTGATAACAATAATTACCAGTCTGATGATATATTATTGGACGGCAATGATAACAAAATTGGACGGTTTAAAAAACAAAAAGAAAAGTGAAATTAAGGTTAAATATGTCCAGAAACACCCAATAAGAATGTTAGGAAAAAAATTCAGGGAAAGCAAACGCAAGGAAATTAAGTTGCTACAAAATAGCATATCCATGAAAATAAAAATCCGAGTTTAAACCTTCCGCAACATTAATACTTTCCACTCTTTAAAAGAATTTTTGATACAGCACTTTGAATAAGCGAATTTAAATCCATTTCTGAAAAAGAGTCTGCAAATCTCCTTATTTTATGTTTGTTCCCCGATGGCCACACTTTTATAACCTGAGAATATTTCCATTATCTAAACTAAAATTCAGGGTAAAAATCCGCATTTTTACTTTCCATGGTGATGGTTATAATATCCCCCAAAATTATGTCAGTATCAAAATCAATTTATGCACATCATAAATAAAAATCCCCCCCCCCCAAAAAAAAACTTTCACCACCGGACCCCTGTCCTGCTAAACTACACGACTGCCATTGAATGAATGAAATGAAAATGAGTTCACTCACTATTTTTACTGTCTCATTTCTTTTATCTACTTATCAGACTGGTAGAAAACAATGGATGCCTAAACTCCCATTGTGTTATTATCGGACTCCTCCAGGTAACTTTTGGACATTTAAATGGCAATGTTTTAAGTAAGATATATGCCTCATACTATTCTGTATGTAAAATTATCAGACAGTTTTCGGCATATATCCATTACTTAGATCCTTTTATACGGTCCCTTGTTTTGTCAGCGAAGAGCGTAAAGGATGTAGATGTAACCTTAATATTAGACTGCCCTTGAGATGCACTTTCTGCGATAGACATGTCAAGTGATGAACATTCTGTTTATGGGATAGAAAATTTCATGGTGTAGGTCAACGTATGGTTTTTTAAATAGGTAAGGTTGAGATCTTTAGTTTCTCTTATAATTGGATCATTAGGTGTTAAAAAATTATTAAATTGAAAACTTTGAAAATCATAGTTTTATAACGATGTCTGCTAAAATAAACTTATTTCTTCCTCGACTTGAAAAGGGATGGCAAGGGGATATGCCATATAATTTAAGATTAGTAATAATAGTAATACATCATGCTTCGCGTCTTAGTTCGGGGGAGGGGGGAGGGGGAGATATTCCTGATGAAGGTTTTATAAAGCCTCACTAAACAGTGGCGGATTTAAGGGGGGGCGCACCCGGCGCGCGCCCCCCCCCTAAAATTGTCAAAGTTAGTGTAAATCGGTAATACTGTAAAAAAAAATGAATGAATCTACAATCTAAAGACCCACCTGTGAGTGAATGAGTAATAAGTATTATAGTAAGGATAGGATATGTTTTAATTAAGCTTTTCTAGACAGGTTCCCTGTGCGCCCGTAAGTAAATGTCAAGGTCCATGATTAAAAATAAATTTTCTTAACGTGTTTTCATCTTGCTATAACGCAGTGATTTCTCTCTCTCTCTCTTTCATAAAAATTTGGTCCGGTATGGTGGTTTCATTGTATCCTAAGGGCAGACAATGCTTCAACTTAAGGATATCCGATCCTCAGGCAGGAAGGATAACTCCAAAAATTAATATTTAATTTGAAATGCATCAAAATGAAGCTTGAAAATGAAT